TTATATATATATCCTCTATATATTAATTGAGGAGACACTAAGCTGAAAATCCTATGTGTCACTCAATGATGGTTTCAAGTAGGATGTCATTTAAATTAATCAATGAAAATATTTCAATTAATTCTACATATTTTTATTAATTTTATAGCATAAACTCATTAATACATGTTTTGCAAATCTAAGTCCAATTAAATGTAATATTTAGACTTACCATATCATCTATTTTTAAAACTTTTTTTATATTTAAAAACTTTTTATTATTATATTTGTGACAATATTATTTATAGTGTATATATGTATTTAGCTTAATATGATATATAAAATATTTACACATTTCATTATTGGTAAATATATATTATTTTTTGTTTATTATGTCCGACAAATTCATATAAATCTAAAATTTATCTAATTTATCGAATACTCTATAATTTACATGAATAATAAAAATTAATTTTACACTTAAAATATATTGAAATAAATAAAATTTTCATATGTTCTGATCAATTGCACATAAAAAAATTAAAACTGGTGGCATCAAAATATGTTTGATCAAAATTTAACTTGATTATACTTATGCACAATACATATCATTTTGCAAGTTTATAAATATTAGAAATCTGATTTGTCAGACACATTTATATACTCCCTCTGTTTTCAAAAGAGTGTCATTTTGACACTAATTTTTTGTTTTTTAAAAAGAGTCGTTTTAGGTTTCCAACACATATTTTAACATGTTTTTTTCATTTTTAACCTCAATCAAAATTATCACATAATTTATAAATAAAAAATAAAAACAATATGAAGAGTCATTTTTAACACAAAACTTCATATTCACGTTGGTTTTCAATACTCCCAATTATGTTGACTCTCATCGTGTGTACATTAAATACTATTATATTTATAAATAAAATTAAATGGTATAAAAGAAATAATTGTAATTATATAGTTAGTTAAAGGGTATAAAAGAATTTTAACCTTGTTTCTTAATTTACGTAATTATTGTTAAAATGACACTCTTTTGAAAACAGAGGGAGTATTAAAATTAATTCCACGCTTAGCGTGAGTCAAAATCTAGTATATATATAACTCAAATAGC